CTTTTTTTTAATATTTTATTGATTTTTTATAGAGAGGAAGGGAGAGGGACAGAGAGTTAGAAACATCGATGAGAGAGAAACATTGATCAGTTGCCTCCTGCACACCCTGCACTGGGGATGTGCCAGCAACCAAGGTACATGCCCTTGACCGGAATCGAACCTGGGACCCTTCAGTCCGCAGGCCGACGCTCTATCCACTGAGCCAAACCGGTTAGGGCTATATATATTTTTTTAATTGATTTCCAAGAGGAAGGCAGAGAGAGAGAGAGAGAGAGAGAGAGAGAGAGAGAGAGAGAGAGAAACAGCAATGATGAGAGAGAATCACTGATTGGCCGCTTCATGCACGCCCCCCACCGGGGACTGAGCCCACAACCCAGGCATGTGCCCCCGACTGGAATCGAACCCAGAACCCCTCAGTCCGCAGGCCGACGCTTTATCCACTGAGCCAAACCAGCTAGGGCAGTACTTAGATTATTCTTAATTTTTTTAGTTTAATGGCTAAGGAGCATAACTAATTATTACAACCACTTATTTGGCAACCCCGAATTATTAGAGGCATAGTTGAGAATCAAAGAAAGCAGAATAATAAAGAGATAAATAAAAGGGTAGACAAATATCTCAGTTGGCAAATAACTAAATCATGCTCTAAAACCTCATTCGTATTAGATAGAAGGCAGTTTGTAAGTCCCTACTCCAGATCTTTTTTGCTGTATGCACACACAAAAACTATCTCTTCCCCTCCTTAGTGAAAATAACATTTGCACATGGTGGTAAATCTAAATATTACAAAAGAATGTTCAGTGATAAATTCACTCTTGAGACAGTTTTAATACACGTTTCCCTGCCAAGTTCAGAGGAGAATAACAAATTAAAAATTGGACAAGCACTTTAATAACGGCAGACAGAGTCAACTGAAAAAAAACAGGAATTAAAAAGTATAGTTATGTAGGTCTACTCAGAATAGAGACTTATAGCTCTCATATTACTCAGCCTTCCACAACGATATGTGATATAATAATTGATGTCATAGTGGTGATTACCACACTTGAAAGGTTAAATCATCTTCAGCTTTTTTGTATGGCAGGAATATGTGACATACATTTTATTTATTTTTAATATATTTTTATTTGTTTCAGAGAGAGGAAGGAAGAGGGAGAGAGAGATAGAAACATCAATGATAAGAGAATTATTGATTTGGCTGCCTCATGCACGCCCCCTACTGAGGATCAAGCCCAAAACCCAGGCATGTTCTCTGACCAGGAATCAAACTGGTCTCCTCCTGATTCATGGGTCGATGCTCAACCACTGAGCACACAGTCTGGGCTGTAACATGCATTTTAAAAAATATTTCCTTTCAAAATGATATAAAGTATCGTTCTTAAAGGTCGAATAACATTTCAAATATGTGAAAACTTCATTTGTGTGGAATTTCTCATTTACCTAGAACTCCAGATAAATTTTAATTAAAGTAGCTTAAAGGTGAGATTCAGACTCTAATTTAACAATAACTAAAAAATTTAATTGGTGCGTTTTTTCTAAAATACTGAATTTTCTGATGCCTTTTTAATTTATTGAACAAATTCTATCTTTGACTTTAAAAGATAGTCTACTACCTTTTATAGGCCTAGGAGGACAACTGAAATCTGAGCCAAGGATATTTTTTTACCTCTCAAGCACCAACCATCAAGAAATTTTTAACAATGTGCACATTTTGTCCCTTACATATTCATTCATTTGTGAAGTATTCGTTTAGTTCTATTTGCTGTGGAGATGAACAAGGTAAACATTTTCTACCCGTATGTAATTTATAAGCTTATGGTGATACAAACAAATCTATAATAATAAAAGCATAATATGCTAATTAGACCAGACAACCTTCTGGATGAAGCCAAGGCTGCGAGGGAAGCCGGGATCGCGGGTGCCTGCCGGCAGCCGGAGGAAAGCCTGGGTCCCGGGTGCCAAAGGGAAGCCAGTGCCAGCAGCCGGGAGAAGGAAGGCCTACTCTTGCACAAATTTCATGCATTGGGCCTCTAGTGCAAATTGACCCTAAGAGCAGAACGACTGGGAATGACTCGTCATTATGACACACACTAACTATCAGAGGGCAGACACTCAATTCAGGAGCTGCCCCGTGGTGGTCAGTGCGCTCCCATAGGGGGAGTGCCTCTCAGCCAGAAGCCGGGCTCACGGCTGGCGAGTGAAGGAATAGCCGGGCTCCCGCCTCCACGGCAGCGCTAAGGAATAGCAAGCAGGTGGGCGGTAAGGAGCAAGGGATCCTGGAGTGCTAAAGGGTGCAGGCTGGGCTGAGGAAACACACACACACACACACACACACACACACCAGTGCACGAATTTCGTGCACCGGACCTCTAGTATATTGATAATTATAATACAGACATGGTAGAGCTAAGATTAGCTCACTTCAACTAGGCCTCCTGCTTCCTTGCATTCGTCTGTGTTCCTAGAAGTCGCATGGCCCATGGCCATGTAGACCCCACATGCAATGGACTAATGAACTGCAGCTGGGAACACAAGTGAAGCTAGCCTGATGCTTGATTGGACTGTGCAAAAACGGAACAGAAACTTTGAGCAAACGGCAATAATCCTAGCTCTGCTAAAGACACAGCTACACTTCATCCATGGCGGGACAGAGGGAGAGGAGCCCTTGGAAACTCAGGGGTTTAATTCCACTCAAATAAATGCCACTCATTCTCCTGTGTCAGTCTCAGCAAATTCCTTTTCTCATGACACCACAAGACCACTTCCACTAGAAATCTGTGGGGACACAGAGGGTTTCCCACCAATAATAATATTATCTAAGAGATAACTGTTTATATAGAAAAGCTAAGATTTAAGGAGTGTCAGAATTATTTAAAACTAGTAGCCCTGCGCACGAAACTGTGTGCCAGTAGCTCTCTGCGGGGCCTGGCCGCTCCGCGCCCACTGTCCAGAAGCTCTCCACGGCCCAGAGGTCCTCTGCAGCCAGGGTGGAACACTTGCCTCGTCACCGTGGCAACGAAGCAAGCATTCCACCAGGCCGCTCACACTGCCTGCTCTCAGCAGCCGTCTCCGCCCCCATCCCCCCCCC